TTCAGTTTGTTTTATTTTGATTGAAAAGTTAGAAAAAAAGAATTTTTTTGAATGAAAAATGAAAAAAAGCTCCAACATTTCAATGTGTTTCTTTTTGTTAATCGTAATTACTCTTACCGTTATAAAGACAACCTTTATTTGTTTGAATCAAATGCAGAACAGACCAAAATGCAGAACAGGTAAATTACTAATTACTGAACATTGAGTGACAGCTTTTCATAAGACAACAAATCAGTCTGCTTTTTCACGTTAACATAAAATCAATAAAAAGGCCAACTTATTTGACTTTTTAAAATAAAAAATTTTGTAGAACCTCGCCCTAAACCTTACTATACCTTCTAAGATTAAGGCCCACAACTGAATTCTGGATCCGCTCCTGTTCATATATGTATACACGCACAGACATGCACACACAGATATATATACACAAAAAATTTTATAATATTTTTTGTATTTTTTCTATTTTAAACGCCGGTAATAATAAACGCAATTCTGAGGAGAAGTTTATTACATAAACTACATAAATTATGATTACACAAAAGTAGTAATGTTTTTTCTTTATCTTTTACCTTCTATGATTTTATATTTAAATATTTTAAATACTGATATATCTAGACATATGTATTTTTATTTTAAGTTTGTTAAACATTTGTATTTATTGTAGATTTATGGTTACTTATATAAGTAACATTTACTTTATTATATTATACTATATAAGTAACATTTACATTATATAAGTAACAATTATACATATAATTATATGTCCTGTTTTGTTTGTATTACATTTCTATTACATACGCGATGTCTAAATTATCGGTATTACTTTTTACTACACGCTTTACTATAGTGTCTTTGTTTTTGTTCTGAATATCTGTTCAAAATATATATTTACATTTTTTTTAAATCCTTTCTCTCTTCCTATTTTTTTTGTTATTTCACTTAAGTATGACAATTCGGCCTAGTCCTTTGATGCATATTTTTGCATTTTTTTATATTATGGCAGGAGTAAGCCAAATAATATTCGTATAAAAAAATCTTGTCCATGGAAAGTCCTATACAACTTGTAAAGGGTAATTTAGTGGACTTTTTCACAAGAGTTGGCTATAGTTTATAGGCATGTATACGGTTGATATATTTCGAAATTTTTTTCTTCTTAAATTTGTTATACTGATAGTGATTTCTTTAATGCGTTCCTTTTCTTTTTCCTTTTCTTTTTTTTTGATGGTTTTTTCAAAATTGATATCGACTAATAATTTTTGATTTTTAGTGGTATTTTGAAATTATTTTTAGTAATTATAATTTGAAATAATTATATAATCAAATAATAACATAATTATTTGAAAAATATTTATTTTTCGTAAATGATTATTGAATTCTTACAAGAATTTCTTTGTTTAGATTTTCCAACGGAAAATCCATTTTTATAATTTAAATTTTGCTGCTCAACCAGAAAACTAATATACCCTTGAATAAAGCTGTAAAAGATTAGAAAAAGTTCTAGAATTTTTGAACAATTTTTAAAAGTCATCAGAAGGTTGAAGACATTTCAAGAAAGACTTAAAATCAGTAAGCTCAATAAACATTAGTAGGTTCTGGAAAGATCTAGATATTTGCACAAAGTTCTTGATATTTTACACATCCATAGTAATACTATGCGTTTAAAGTTCAAAACCCTATATATACTAATATAATATAATATAAATGCTATATACCTTAAGTTTTAAGTCTAGCAAACCCCTACAACTACGGTTGCATTTTTTTATATGATCCACTAGATCATCTATAATTAAATAACTTTATGTATTTTAGGGACAACGTTTTTTAAGATTTTTAAGTTAAAATAGATTAAACTTCTATAAAAATTGGTTGAAAAAATTTGTCAAATTTTGTTGTTGTTTTATTTTATTTTTTATTTTATCTTTTGTTTTACGAAGAAAATGATTTACATAAATTGTACTGATATATATATATATATATATATATATATATATATATATATATATATATATATATATATATATATATCATATATATATATATATATATATATATACATATATATATATATATATATATATATATATATATATATATATATATATATATATATATGTATATATATATATATATATATGTATATATATATATATATATATATATATATATATATATATATATATATATATATATATATATATATATATATATATATATAGAGAGAGAGAGAGAGAGAGAGAGAGAGAGAGAGAGAGAGAGAGAGAGAGAGGATACACGATTATTTGTTTAATAACTGTTATTAATATCAGTGTTCAATTTTATCATAGATATTAATAAACTACGTGTTTGACATTTTGCAATGAAAGCTGTTACTAAATACGTTGTTGCAAGCTGTTGCCCTGTGACAATAATGCTGCATGGATTCGGACTTTTTCTTTTAATAAAAGCAAAAAAACTGGTAATGGACTCTACTCAACGCACCATTATTTTTCATCTCTGTGTGTCTGAACTTTGTTTAAATATAACACTTTTTACTTTAGCCTTGTTAGATTTTACTTTTATTAAAGCTCCTGTTTATCTTTATTACTTACTCAGAACATTCGTAACCGCGTATTATTGTACAAACATCTGGCTTACATTTGATCGTTTTTTGCACACACAATTGACCATCAAATATCCTGCGTATTGGTCAAATAAACACACTAAAATTTCTGAGTTCTTTTTATGGTTTTTCAGTTTTGGGTGTGGTTTTTTAGTTTTTATTAAATATAAACAAGTATTAGTGATTATAGATCTTACATTTGATGCTATAATTTTGGTATTTCCAACATTTGTGTACGTGAATGCAATTTTGCTTTCAAGAAAAATGAAAAACGGTAAAAAAATCAAACGAAAAGGGGTTTTATTAATAATGATGATAATATCGAGTAATATAGTTTTAATTGTAATACCGCACTTGATTTTATCTACATATCGGTTTTTAAAAATGGAAAAAGATATCTCTGTTCTATTAAAAGTAGTAATGGATTTGGTTTTAGTATCAGGGTTTTGGAGCCATGCCTTACTTTATATATTGATGTGTCCTAATGTTTGTAATACTTTAAATAGATTTCATATAAAAAAATCTATATTGCATAAGAAAAAAGAATTTTCAGAGGCAAAACAAATGATTTTTCAAAAGCAAAATTCTCCAAAGATTTCACAGCATTTCGAAATCAAAAAATCAATTACTAAAATCTGAATTAAAATATTTATTTTACCTTTTAACAATGGTGATATAAATTGCAAACGTACGAAAGAAAACATTAATTTTTTTGAAAAACATTTTTAAGAACTTTAAACATCAAGATTAAAGATATAAAAAGTTATTTAATGCAAACAACAAACTTAGTGATTTTAAAGCTAGAGTGAACTTTGGCGTTTTTAGACTAATACTTGTTATGTGTATGTTTGACTTGTCTGTGTCTGTTTGAGTCTGTTTCAGGTCCTAAAAATATGACATTATGAATTATGTACCTATTAATTATGACAATCATCTGGTCTAGATATTTAGGCAGCAAACTGCTTAATGATAACTACTTTTCCAATAAACACATGAGCATCTTATAAACGTCTAAAAAACGTTTTAGACATTTAAAAGATGTTCATGTGTTCACGACCTAAAGTTTTGGTCAATTATCCGTTCAGATTGAAATCCAGAATAACACATTTATTAGAAGTCGAGATTCAAACGTTTAACCGACAATTAATAGAATTATAACTGAAGATTTGAAATGCATGATTCAATTTTTTTTTTATGTATACACCAATTTAACGTTTACAATATTGACTAATGTTAGTCAATACTCTAAACATTTATAAAACGTTTACTAAATTTAGAATAATGACTTATGTTAGTCAATATTGTAAACGTTTAACCGACGTTTAATAAACATATAAGTTGTTCAGTTTGTAAGGTACGCTTTAATTATCTTAACATATTTATTACATTAATTAAACATTTTGAATATAGATTTATCTAGTCAATATTCTAAACTTTTCACCAACGTTTAATCAACGTATACATTAAAAAGCTTGAAATGTTGATCCAAATCATTCGTCGATTTTTGGTAAACAGTTAGTCGATAAACGTTTTATCTGTTTTTCGACCAATTTCGACTAAATATTGATCTATTCTAGACGTCTGCATTTTTACTGAGTTCATATATATATATATATATATATATATATATATATATATATATATATATATATATATATATATATATATATATATATATATATATATATATATATATATATATATATATATATATATATATATATATATATATATATATATATATTTATATATATATATATATATATATATATATATATATATATATATATATATATATATATATATATATATATATATATATATATATATATATATATGTATATATATATATATATATATGTCATCTAAAAATAAAAGAAGATTGTCAGCCATCCATTAATTTCCATAGATAATACCTCCCAACTTATTTATTAAAGAGTATTTTTTGAGCTATAGACTTCTGTTATTGTTTACGATTATAAGTCTTTGAAAATGGCGGACGTATTTTTTAATGTTAATAAAGCAAAAGTAAAGATAAGGAAATTAATATTTATTTTATAAATATAAATAATAAATAAACAATCTGATAAATTAAAAAAAGAAAAAGGAAAAAAACGAAAATAAAGTATTTTGAAATAAAAAAAAAACACTTACTAAATAAAGAAGAAAAAAAAAAAAAAAAAAAGGAGTCAGTTAAACAAACGAAAAGAATGAAAAAAAATAAGAAACAGCAAATAAGAAAAAAATGAATAAAAAAGATATAAGTAAACAAATAAAAAGATGTACGAGAAGAAATAGTAAAAAAAGTGCTTGAAGATTGGACGTCTTTTTAGGACCATATGCCGGCTTCGTGGTCGTTTGTTTTTATACTTTTATTTATAACGATTTAAATTATTTGTTATTATTTTTTAGTCATACTAATTTTATGATAATTTTTTATAACATTACAATTTTATGATAATTCATTTTCTCACCTTAAGTTATTTATTTATGTTTATTTGTATTCATTTTAGTTCGAGTTAATTATATATCGTTATTTTTACGTTCGATAAATTTATATGTAGGGGGTGGGGGGAGGGGAAGGGGCAGCGCCTGCGCTATTGTGTATGGGGTGCGACTCTCCCCTCCCCCTAATCAATTAATGTTTATACCATTAGTCTGCAAATAAGGAATTTTTTGTAGCTCTAGTGGGCAAAATAGGACTTGTGATATGAAACTCTAATTGACAAATTAATTTTGTTTTAGTCAGCAAATGACTTTAAGGTTTGGCACCTATTACTAATTGGCACCTATTGGCGTCTTATAAAGAAACGTCACACAACATGCAGTAATTTTTCTTGCAGTTTCTGCTTTTATCGAATATGCCAAACAAATTTTAACTTTATAATTGTAAATGTAATTACAATTCACAAAAAAGAACACTTAACATGTTTGAGTTTTTTTTCTACTTTTAAATTCAAAAAAAAAATTATTTTTTGTTCAACTTTTTAATTAAATAAAACAAACTGAAAGTCTTGTAGTTGGATGGCTATGCATTGCCTTCATTACCACACCCCTCACAATTAAGGCCACGCGATCAAGGTTTTTTTCGGTTCGATTTTAAAAACAAAAGTAACGATTCGGTTTTTTTTGGTTTGGTCTAAATTTTTTTTTTGGTCAGTTCGGTTCGGTTAAAAGCAAAACAAAGTTTTAGAGGTCATTTATTTAATAAATTTAGAATTACATATTTTTAAAAATACCAAAGAAAACTGGGAGTGACAACGTTACCAGCCTTAGAAAAAACCCTCTCCAAAGTTGCAGAAGTTGCTGGTATACAAAGATATTTTGGTGCATGATTCGATAAAAATGGGTACTGCAACTTCATTATTTTCCACTACTCTAAAATATTTATTGTTCCTTCAGCTGTTTCGGCTGCTAAATAATGATCAATTTCTAAACCCAGTTTAGTCATCATTGAAGCACTGCTCGCTGAAATATTTTGTTTCAGTCTTTTTCAAAAGAGTTCGTGGTGATTAACTTTTACATTTTCATCACTTTCATTGTCCGTTTTGCTGCTACTCGTTGAAGCTTTTTTATGTTTTTCTTCTTTTTCTTGATTCAATATTGCTTCTTTTATTTCATTGCATTTTTTATATTTAATCAAATGCAGGCCTTTGTAACGTGGGTCTAAAAAAAATAAAAAACAATTAATCAGCTGTTCAGCACCATTAAGAGAATATCTTTCCTGAAGTTAACAAACCAGTATTTTTGTAAATTTTCTTGTTGGCTTGTGTTTTTGATGTTGATGGGAAAGAAGCTCTTGATGCAAGGAATATAATTCAGGTATTATATCTTGGATTGTTGGTCTTTTATCGGCTGAGAAGATTACTGGAACATTGTAAATTTTTTCAAAAAATGGATTGCTGTATTTATGTCTTCCATTGATCATCTGAGAGACAAGACCTTTCAAACTCATTATTGGTTTTTGCAAGTCTTTTGACTGGATCTTTGACTTCAAGGACTGACTTTATGCACATTTATTCAGAATTCCAACATGTTGTACATAAAACAATCAATTTCTTGGGCTTAATTCACAAGCATCTTGAAGCTTGGTTGTAGAGAGTACACTTCTATGTGTGTGTGATGCTAAGTTTGCACAGTTTTTTTATTGCTTTAGAAAGTTCAATTGAATTTTTGATTGCTTTAAGAATAACTTTCTGGATTGTGTGATTATTGTAGCGTAGTTCTGAATTAATTTCATCACTTTCTTTAGCAGCTAAAACAATGTTGCTGCCATTGTCATTATTCATGGACTTCTTCATTTAAGTTTAAATTAGCAATAATTTAAATTAAATTATTATATAAAATTAAAAAAATATATATATTATATAAAATTAAAAATTTTTTTTTTTTTTTTTTTTTTTTTTTTTTTACAATATTTATGATACAGATACAAATAATATAAAAAATAAAAAAAGAAAAGGTAACAAGTCAAGATATCGTTAAGAATAATATAATAATATAAAGAATATTAATAAATATAAAGAACGCGGATACTCAAAGAAGACCATCAGGTCTTGTCAAAGAGAAACCGCTTTTGAACGTTTTTTTTTTTTTTTAATTTTTTTTTTTTTTTTTATTATTATTATTTTTTTTTTTTCAATGTTTTCATTCTTTGTATTTATTTATTTTTGTTCAGTTTCTTTTTATTACAAAATTAAATTTATTAATAAAAGTATATAAAGTTCGTAATATAATATTATAAATAAACATACAATATTACAATAGAAGAGTTCTAAAACTTAAAAACTAAAACATGTTAAATAATTCACTAAAATAAAACATGTTAAATAATTGCTTGTTGATAAAAAAATAAATAAATAAAAAAGAATGTACATTAAATACATTCATATACTAATATAGACAAGTGATTTTCAAAAATTTAAAAGTAGATTAGTATATTTTCAGTTGAAAAAATGAGTTTTTTAAGATTTTGTTTAAAAGAATCAAAATTACATTCTTGAGAAAAATCTTTAGAAGTATTTAGAACTATACTATTCCATAAAAATGGTCCGCGAAATGAAATAAAAAATTTTCCAAAATTAGTTTGAGAAAATGGTTGTCGAATTAAGTTATCGTTCCTTAGAATATATTTATTTTTATCTCTTTGTAAATACAAGTTACGAAAAGAAACGGGTGATAGGTTGGTCTTGCATTTATACATAAAACAAAGAATATTAAAAACATTTAACTCATATATATTGAGTGCTTTCATATCATATAAAAGAGGCTTGGCGTGAGCAAAACGGTCCTTGAAATTTATAAGGCGTGCTACATGCTTCTGTTGCCGATAGAGAGGTTTAAGTTTACTTATATAAGTGCTACCCCAAGCAATGTTTGCATAGTTGATATGGCAATGAATTAACGAATAATATAATTGAATTAAGGTATTTTTATCAAGAACGTTTCTTATTTTGTATAAAATGCCTATACTCTTTGAAATTTTACTGCACAAGTTAGCAATGTGGCATTTCCATGTAAAATTTTCATCGATATATACACCTAAAAATCTTGTCACTAAAACTCTATTAATAACTATGTTATCGATAAATAGAAAAGGTAAGTTGCTAGGCAGCTGGTGCTTTTTACCATAAGGATGAAAAAGAATCCATTTAGTTTTATCAATATTTAGTGATAGTTTGTTTAATCTAAACCATTCGGAAATTTTGACTAGTTCAATGTTCATATTGCTAAAAAGTGTAAAAATGTTATTATGAGAAAGAAATAGGTTAGAATCATCAGCAAACATAATTGTCATTAGGTTAGAAGCTTTTGGTAGATCATTAATATATATTAAAAATAGGAGAGGTCCTAATATGGATCCTTGAGGAACTCCACATGAAGTATTTAACAAACTAGATGATACGTTATCATTCGCATAAACAAATTGTTTTCGATTATTTAGGTAACTTTTTAGCCAAATTAATATTTTTCCAGTAATTCCGTACCACTCCAACTTTTTAAAAAGAATTTCGTGATCTATAGTATCAAAAGCTTTCGCCAAGTCAATAAAAACACCTAAAGTAAATTGAGAATTTTCAAATGAGTCAGATATATTTCTTGTAAATTGTAGAATGGCATGTTCAGTAGAATTGTTTTTTTGGAATCCATATTGATTGCTGTATAATAAATTGTTTAAAGTAAGATGACTATAAATTTTATTGTACAAAATTTTTTCTAAAACTTTAGAGAATACAGAAAGGAGTGAAATTGGACGATAGTTACTTATATTCTCAATGTCACCACTTTTTAATATTGGTATGACTTTTGCTAATTTTAGGGCATGTGGAAAAATTCCCTGTTTAATTGATATTGAAAAAATTTTAAAGAGTATATCTTTTAAAACATCAAATGAACTTATAATAATGTTGCCATTAATACCATCAGGGCCTACTGCTTTGTTAGATTTTAACATTTTAAAGGCATTTTCAAACTTTTCAAAAGATAATTCAAAAGAGTTCAAGTAGAGTTTAGAGGGAAACGTAGATCATTCATTAAACCGTTAGCTATAGGAATTCTTTTTGCCAGATTTGGTCCTACAGACACAAAATATTCTTCCGTAATTTGTCTTTTATCATATAAAAATTCATTATTATGTTTAACCGTGTTTGGCAAAGAGTGAGATGTACATTTTTTGCTGCCAGTAAATTCTCTTATTATAAACCAAGTGCGTTTAAAATTTAATTTATATATATTTAGTAAGTTTAAATAATAATTTTTTTTTTGTTTTTTCTTGAGGCTTTCAAAAAGTTTAGCGTAATTTTTATATATAATTTTATTTTCATTTGTTTTAGATTTTAAGTAATTAATGTATAATTTTTGTTTAATTTTTGAAGACTTCCCAAACCCTTTGTAATCCAAGGCGATTTAATAATTTTAGCTTTGAGATTTAAATTAACTTCAGGGAAATTAGTTTCATAAATATCATAGAAAGATTTAAAAAAGGAGTTATAAACTAAGTTTATATCATCAGAGGTGTTAATAATGCTCCAATCAATTAGAGATAATTGTTCCTTAAAAGATTTAAGGTTTTCATTTGTAAAAAATCGCTTTTTGAAAACTCGTTTTTCATTAGGAACTAATTTATTATCTATATTTATAGAAAAGAAAATAGGAAAATGATCAGATATGTCATTTTTAATTATGCCCTTTTTTAAGGATTCGTTAAAAACATCAGTGGTTAAAATATTATCAATTAAAGAGGCACTTGATTGAATAATTCTTGTCGGTTTGCTAATCAAGGGAATCGCACCATTTTCAAAAATGCCATTATAAAACCTTTTAATGTTATTATTGACGTGGTATTGAAAACAATCTAAATTCAGATCACCCACTAAGTAGATAAATTTATTTTCGTGGTTACTTTTTTTAATAACGTCATTACATAAAAACGAATTAAAATTTTTAATTTCACCTGAAGGTGGGCGATAACAACAACTTAGAATTTTATTTTTTATTTTATTGGTTAAAATTTCAATCGTTAAAACCTCTTTATCAGCATCAGAGATGCTCATGTCATGCCGGGTAAAATATCGTAAGTTATTTTTAACATAAATAAGAACGCCTCCGCCACGCTTATTTGTTTTTCGTGCTAATGAAATTACATTAAAACCCGGCAGTTCAAAATTGGTAAAAAAATTTACGTCATCCGAACTGCACCATGTTTCTGTTAAGCAAATTATATTAAATAGATTACAAGTTTCTTCAATAAAATTACGAAAGATTTCAAAATTTTTTTTTAAACTGCGGATATTAATGTGAATTGTGTTAATATTATTTTGATCAAGAAATCCTTTAATTTTATGGGTATAAAAGTAGTTGCATTTATTTTGCAAAGCACCAGAATTAGAAAAATAATTAAGATCAGGATCAGATTCATCATCTAATAAGAAATCATTTGTTTGAAAAAAATTATAAAAACTAGACTCAAAATTTAAGGTTTCGTTAGAATCCATTTTATTTTTGTTTTTTTATAATCAAAATAAGATCAAAGAATTTCTTTTATAAATCCCGTGTGATTAATTTATTATATATAACTTTAGCGTACTTACCCTTTGCCCTTAAATCTTTTGCCTCATTCAGTAGTTTTTTTTTGCAATTCCATCGTATGATCACTATAATCTTCATTTATGTAAACCTTTTGAGTCCACAGTTTCATCGTCGTGTATTTTCTTAATATCGTGGCTTTGTCTTTGTAGTTAAGAAATCTGACTACGATCGATCTGTTTTTTTTATTGTTTTCAGGTAGTTTCTTTCCGACTCGATGTGCTCTTTCAATTTCAAATTTTCCGTGTAGCTGAAGTTTATTATTTAAAAATTCTCTTACTTTTTTTTCACTGTCCTCCCAGCTTTCATTTTCAACTTCTTCAATCCCACAGAATCTTAAGTTGTTGCGTCGACTTCTGTCTTCAAGTTCAGCCAATTTGTTAATCATGTTAGAATTTGCATATTCATTTATCAATGATGTTTTTGATGTTTGATGATCAGCAACTATTTTATTATAATTATTACTTACAAATTCGACAGCTTTATTAAGTTCGCTTAATTCCTTTTTTAGTTCCTTATTCTCGTCAATTACTGAGTTTAATTTGTTTTCAAGCTTTTCAATTCTATCATTAAACATCTTCATAATAGTATTTTCATGAATTTCCAAAATATCTTTCAATTGTGCAGATGTAAAATTTTTAGTAGCCATTTTGAAATTTTTTTGATAACTAGTAATAAAAAAAAAAAACACGTCCGTTCGCGGTGAATGTTCGCGGTGAATGAAGGTTTACTGCAACAGCAACCTCTGTGTGTCTACCAGTATATGGTGCGTAAACAATGAAAAAACTTTCTAAATTAAATTCTGAATGTGGTGAATTGTAAGACTCATGTAGGAATAATTGTTTCAATTTTTCCAGAGATCTGTTGTAAAACTAACTCCAGTTACTTTTGGAAAATCTTTGAGAAAATTTATTTCGCTCCCTCCTTTACCTTTTCATACAACAGTTAGAAGTTTTTTACGCCTAAATGTTGATGCAGATTTTGCAGTAAATTTGCAATTTATATCATCAATAAACTCTTGTGCTCCTTCATTATCTAAAATTTCAAAAGGTAGACCAAGCTTGCAAATAAATTTTATTAAATCAAACTTTATATGCTTTGGATCATTTAATCCATATTTTTGTTTTTTTTTTAATGCAAATTTCAATTGTAGTTTTTTTTTCTCTTTTTATTTAAGTTTTTGTTTATTAAGTATCTACGTCGTATTTAAAATATGTTCTTTTCAAGATGCTTCATGTTTAATTTTGACGTAGCTGGTTATTGTTGAAGTACTGCCACAGTTTATTTTGTAAGATTTGAAGCAAATTTTACAATTTGCTTCAAATTTACTTGACTTTTTAAAGAATTTCCAAATATCACTTTCTTTCCGCATCTTTAAGGTGAATAAAATAAAAATGGTTAGTGAGACTACCAGACTGTATAATAAACATAAAAAAATAAACATAAATAAAAACCTAATTTTGTATAAACATAAATAAAAACCTAATTTTGTAAAGTATAATATTAGATAACAACATAAATAAATTTAACTTGAAAATTTTTTAAAATCCTTAAAAAGTATTTTAGTTATTTTGTAAAACATTATTAGCTTCAATTCAAATACTAAATTATTTTACGTCTTGCATGCTCCTAAAGGCATTAATAATATTTAAAGAAATTTTTTTTGATTATATTAGTTTTATTATTTAAACAATGAAAATAGTTTAGAAAACAAAGTTTTCAAATTAACAATGTTATAAGGTAATTATTATAAACAATATTAGAAATTTAAATAAATAAAAATGCAGCTTCTTAGAAAAAACTTGCATAATACTTACATTTTACAAGACTAACTGTCAAAAAATCAGTCCGCAACATTTGTTATAATTTCAGGGCAATTTCAAGTCCGCTATTTTATTATGTTTAAATTGTTCCCTATTTTACTTTGCTTTTCTGTAGTTTGAAATTTCTTAAATTAAATAAAAATTATATATTATTCAATAATTTTTGATAATATTTAGTATTAAATAATTTTTTTGACATCTCAAAATTTTAGATCGGTTTTTCAAAGTTTTTTCGGTTACGGTTTGGTTTTTATTTTTTTTTAAACAATTAGATCGGCTCGGTTCGATTCTGTTTTTTTGTTACGGTTTTCACCTAAAAAACAGTTCGGTTCGGTTAACCGCACGGTCTTACTCACAACCCCACCTGTACTTGCACACGTTTATGTTTAGAACATACAATCAAGGCCGGCGCGATAGGGGTGTGTGTGTTACACCCCCCCTCCCATCAATGACTTTTAGTCGGCAAATTTGACCCTTAGTCGGCAAATAAGGCCCTTTTTGACTAGTTAGTCGGCAAATGTAGACCCTGTCGATAAGTTAGTCGGTAAAGTCAGTCGGCAAATGTCGTTAATTTAAAAAACGAGGACCTTTTTTTTTTTTTTTCAGACGGCTAAAGTTGTAATCGCACCACCCCCACCCCCCCCACCCCCACACGTAACCCCTACTCGCGCCGGCCCTGCATACAGTACAATAAATAATGCAATAAATTCCAAAAATAGTAAGTTACTATTTTTGTAATTTATATATTTAGTTACTATTAGTGACTAAGATGTTTTGCTTAAAAATTCATTGTTATTTTTTATTAATACAAAATATTTATTAAATATTATCAATTTTTATTATTAATATAACATAAACATTTACATTTGGTCACTATTTTGCGAATAAGGTTAGAATAAATTTAAAATTAAGTGTAAATAAATTTGAAACCGTTGTGTACTCTTTTTAGCTTATTGAAATACTTATGCTGCATATGAAACAAAATTTTGTTGAATCAACTCAAAACAAACTGCCATAATGCTTTACTATTATTTAATATTTTTTGTTCTCGCTAATTTTGTTCTTGACATTTACATTTTGATGGAAAACGTTTTATGTGTTATATTCGGCATTTTAAAATTTTTAATGCTTGTTTAAAAAGGATTTTATTAATATAATATTTTGTAATAATATAATTGTGGCTTTTATTAATATTTTAAAAAAAAAGAATATTATTTGAAACAGCTTGATAAATTTATATTTTGAAATATTACAACTAGGATTTCCAGTTCGAACATGTTCATGTTCGATTTTTTACCATTTTCCGAGAGGTTTAAGTTCGAACTTTTTTTCTTTAAAAGTTCGAAGATGTAAAAATATTATTAAAATTAGGTTCTTTATTAACATTTTTTAACAGTTAAACCAAAATCTTTTTTAAACTGTGACTTTTTTTAGACAATTTTTGTTACTCTTTATTTTTGTTGTGCAATACTTTAACGTTTATGTCACGAATAGAATGCGTAAACAACTGATTTAGAACCAGTGGCGTAACTATAAATTTGCCCCCCCCCCCCCGCAGTAAAATTTGTAAATCTTCGAGTAAAATTTGTAAATCTTCGCGGGGCCCTCTAAGCTCCGTCTAATAGTTTCTTGGATTTAGTTAACATAATTTTAATTTATTTATGTTTTAAAACTTACATAAATTAAAATTGCGTTATAACTTTTTAACGTTATATAAGTAATAAGAGCAAACTAGGTCTTGAAATTTATAAATAAGATATAGTTATAAAAGTAAAGAAATTTATAAACAAGATATAGTTATAAAAGTAATGTAATTTATAAATTAGATATAGTTAAGATCTGGTGTTATTTTTTATAACTATTTCAATATGTTTATAGTATACTACTTATACTATACTTTTATATTATAAAACTATATATAAAGTTATAAACTAATATAAAAAGTTTTCAAATAGTGGAGATTTAAGAAAGTATAAACAAGTATAGTGCACGAACGTGCACTATACTTGTTTATGCTTCGATAATTAAAAAAAAAATGATCAAACTTTTTGAAATGGAAACGTCAATTAGTTTTTTATTTATTAATTTACTCAAATAGTTTTTGATTGATATAACAACATCAGATTAAAAATAAACAATCTAATCTTATCTTTAATTTAGAGATAAGAAGCAATATAAATCGTTTGTTTTATTATATTCAAATAAAGTAATAAAATATATTATTTATTAAATTATTCAAATATAATAAACAAATGATTTACATTACTTCTTATTTCTAACTTAAAGATAAATCGTTTAAAGTAATTTTTAGTCTAAGGTTGTTATATCAATCAAAAACAATTAAAAACTGACAAATTAAATTATTTAGCTAATGAAAAATGATTTTTCATTGGCTAAATAAATAAATTAGACTTTAATGCGTTTTCACGATTCACTTCCTTACAATAACTGAAAAATGTATAAACCAGAAAAAACACTGATCCAAAACATATTTTTAAGAGTTTATTATTTTATTAGTAATCTTTAATTTAATTTTATTGTAAACTTTTATTTTCTGCTAATGAGATTAAGCTTAAAAAATATTTGATAGAAATTGTTACTATAATGTTTCGCTTGATCATTTTTTTGATCAATTTTTGCTTGATAAACGCTTGATCATTTTTTTTTTGGAATTATTTGTGCACGAAGGATTCTAATTTGTGCACGAAGAAATTCTCGTGTAAACGGATATAAAAGCCATAACGGTAAAAAAGAGGAAATAACGACGTCATAGATTTTTGATGCAAGTGTAAAATAGTGTATAAATTTAGTTAAAAACTAATTATTTCGAAATTCATATAAAAATGGGTAGAACATCTAAAAAAAGAAAGAAGATGACGGGACAGAATAAGAAAAACCGGAAAAATACAGAAAGGTTGAGGTATATTTACCTATGGAAGTGCCCACTGAGGGATTTACCTCAGAGACAGCTTTCATCTAAAGGTGAAATTCTAAGATACTACTAATTTATCCTTCGCGAGTCACAGATTAAATACAAACACACTTCTACTAATGTTGGTTGCAAATTGAAATTGAAATCTAAGTATCTTGTTTGTGAAAATCGTGTTTATACAGATCCTTATAAATCTTGCTTTGTAACTAGGATTAAAAACATTTGGGACAATATAAAGACCAAAATCATTTAACTTAATTTAAAATACAAGAAATTGATTAAATTGTCTTCTCTAAACTGAAACTGCAGCCTTGATAAGCAATCAAAGTTAAAGCAAGATTTTCTCACAGAATCCTATCAGCTTTTTGACATCTCGACTAAGAGTTTTGAAAAAGATATTCTTGCTGATAGATTGAAAACAAATAATACTAAGCTGGAAGATATAAAGTAAGCTCATTAAATAACACTTTTTTTAGTAGTGATATTTTCTTTCCGATTTAAAATAACTTAAGTAATAGCATATTATTTCTTTTAAAATATTTACGTTTAATTCTTTTCATGGTTTGGTCATCTTCCAAGAAAAACTAAAACAAATATTAATTTATTTATAAATGTCTTGAAAGATTTAAATAT